ATATCCTCCTTGGTGAAGTGTCTATTCATGTCTTCTGCCCATTTTTTAATTGGATTGTTTGTCTTTTTGTTATTGAGGTGTTGGAGTGTTCTATAGATCCTAGAGATAAGTCCCTTGTCAGATATGTTATTACCAAATATTTTTTCCCATGGTTTGGTTTTTTTTTAATCTTAAAATGGCAAAGACATTTTCAAACAGGGCACAAAAGTTAAGAAAGGAAAGCATGACATATTTGACTAAACAAAAACTTAAACTTCCTGTGTTGGGGTAAAATATAGTAAAATTTAAAAGCAAATGACAAATTGGAAGGTAAGTGAAGTATTATTATAAAGAACAAACATTGTCTTAATATATAAAGAGTTATTTATTTTTTAAAAAAAACAGCCCCCCCAAAAAAATGAGGAAATGCAAAAGTTAGCAAAAGACATGTTAACATGTCTTTTTAAAAAAAAAAAAGTTAACATGGCTTTAAAAAAAAAATTATATAGGGAAAATGCTCGACCTCACTCCTAATTAGTGCAGTGCATTTAATATCTGATTCTTTACTAAATTGATTTGCAAAGCTCTAAGAGTTTTATAAAACCCTGTGTATTGGTGAAAGTCTGGCGAATTCTGCGTAGCCGTTGTTGCTGTTAATGTGCCGTGAGTCAGACCCGACTCATAGCGACCCTCCTTGGGTTTCTAAGGCAGTATCACTACGGAAGTAGATTGCCCAACCTTCCTTCTGAGGAGTGGCTAGTGGGTTTGAACCGGCAGCCTTCTGGTTAGCAGTCAGGTGCCTTAGGTACTACACTAACTAGTGGAGGGTGAATTGATTACATCGCAAGCACCAGGAAGGCAAGGATTGTTCTGTCTTCATTATTCGCTGCTTTGTTATCCCTAGGGTCTGCAATAATGCCTGGTACAAAGAGGGCTCAATAAATATTTTATCAAATAAAGGTATTAAAAATGTTACAGCCATTTTGAATGACACTTTGGAAGAATTTATCCAAAATGAGAAATCCACATACTTTTGGATTCAGTGATTGTGCTTGTCAGAATTTATTCTATGAATATATATTTCATATATTAAAAATACAAGGTTATTCTCTGTAGTTTTGTTACAACAACAACAAAAAAAAGCAAACAGTGTCCACAGAGTGAAGATTGGTTAAATTATACTAGAAAACCTTACACAGCAGAAAAAGAGGAAGGACTCTCCTTTATGTACTCTTAAAAACACAGAGGAGTGGATCTCACTCATCACCTGGGGGCTGCAAGTATTGGTCATACATAGTAGGTGGTTTCATTGAGAGATTTAAGTAAAGAAGTTCAGTGTGAGGTTGGAAATCCTGACACTTATAGTGGAGGTCTCAGCTAGAGGTATAGCATGGAAATTGTCAACTGTTATGTCAACTCATACTTAAGTAACGCCATTGTAGTCGATGAAGCTGAAGAAACAAGGAGGCTCAACAGAGAGAGCGCTTGGACCTGTTGATGCCCTGAATTTAGACTCCTCACCTCCATGTCCGTGAGGCAATAAATTTCTCTTCTTTAAAGCCACCCACTTTGTGGGATTTTTGTTACGGCAGCCCTAGGAATCTACGACAGATTGTTAAAATATTAATGCTGTGAAGATTGACTTGATAAAACAGTGCTTGTTACTTAATAAAAACAAAGTACATGTTAAATTAATTAAATGAAGTGGAACAGCTTCCATGATATGGAATTTTCAAATGGATGGTGCAGAACAGTATGTTACTGTGTCTGTAGACAAGGAGGGCAGGGGAGGAATGAGCGGCTTCTGGTGTGTGCACGGAGTAGCTCCCTAAAGATGCTCAGATGATCACGGGGGGGAGGTCTGGGGAATGGAATGGGGACTGGGAAAGAGAGAGACCTCACTGCATACCTTTCTGCTTGGTTTGTGATTTCTAGCATGACTTTGCGTTCCTCAGATGGAGAATCCTTTTTCTTCACTAACTGAATTATACAGGATATTCCAGTGAACTCCTTTTTGTCCTTGGAGCTCAGGGTCGTGTCTACACAGGGAGGACTCAGCGTCAGCAGCTGTGTGGTCACTTTCCCCTCCTGTTTATCTGATTATTTACATACTTGTAACCATCCTTTTGATGTCACATTTTTCCTTTCTAGATCAAAACTACAACAACGCCACTGCCCTTGTGATTACGTTTCCTGTGAATAATTACTACAACGACACAGAGAAGCTGCAGCGGGCCCTGGCTTGGGAAAGAGAGTGAGTTGCTGATGGGCATCTAGACAAACGGTCCTTTCTTTGCTTAGAAGCTGGATGCTTGCAGTGAGCACTTCCTTGACTCTGCTAAGTTAACCAACTTCAGATCTAAGTGACACCATTTTTCATTGCCACTGGTCATGCAAAGAGGAGAAAATCTGTAAACATAGTTACGTGTAAACTGATTGTTAACAGATATTCCTGAACAAGAATGCTAAAGTGTATATATGAAAATATTCTTGCAGTGTTTTCTAATAGTGAAAACTGGGAGCATGCTGAGTGCACATTAGTCAGAGAGGAGTTAAATATTTCATGGTTGTACCATAGAATATCATGCAATCATCAAGAAAGCCCTGGTGGCCATAGTGGTTAAGCATTTGGCTGCTAAGCAGAAGGTCATGGGTTCAAACTTAACAGCTGCTCCATGGGATAAAGATGTGGCAATCTGCTTCTGTAAAGATTTGCAGCCTTTGAAACCCTATGAGGCAGTTCTACTCTGTCCTGTAGGGTCACTGTGAGTCGGCATCAACTCACTGGCAGAGTTCAAGTGAGGAGATGAGTAGTCCAAGATGTACTATATAAAAAGTCACAGTCAGCATGTGTAGGTAAATATTGCTATACATGCTGTGTGTGCTTAGAAAAAGCATGACACAAATGACCCAAGAAATTAAGCATGCTTGTTGCACACCTGCAAAAACGGCGAGGAGGCCACATGTTCTGACCTCCTCTAACCCTACAAGGGGAAGGCAGGATTACCAGCAGTAAACCAAGGCCTATTACTGCAAGGCCAGACATGCTGCCTCCCTCCAGCCCTTTCACCAACCGTTCCTCCCAAAGCACCCACCACCTCTCTCCTGGGTTCAATAATTCACTGCAGTGGCCACACAGAACTCACAGATTACAGGATTTATTAGGGAAGCACCAGGCTACAACTCAAGTTCAGGAAGAACGCTCAGTCTCTCTCCCAGCCCAACGTCCCTCAGCCAAAAATCTCTCACAGTCTCTTTCCCAGCAGTGCTGGTCCCTCGGTGTCTCACTCAGCGATGCGTGTCTCTTGTGTCTCTTTCCCAGCAGCACGTGTCTCTTTCAGGGGTGTGTGTCTCTTTCAGCAGCACGTCTTCCTCAACCAGCAGTCAGAGAGAGTTCTGCCTCCAGGAGGCCTCCTTTTGAGCCCGGAAGGGTGGTCAAACTAGCCAATCACAGCATCAGAACTCTAAGCACGTGAGAGAGAGTGGGAACCTCCCAGAACATTGTATTGTGCCACACCCAACAGAAATAACCCAAGTGGGCGACTTTAAAATCAGGATCTCCTCAGTTGCTAATAGCAATTCCCACCTTGGAGTTTACAAAGACTTATGGGTAGAAAAGCCACACTAAGTAATTTACTACATCGCAACACCCAATAGAGAATGGGAAGAGAGGCTTGAGGAGAACAGGGGACCTACACTCTTCACTTTGTGCCCTTTGGCTCTTTTTACACTTTGTCCCATAAGCAAGGTAGATTATTTATTATTATATACTTCATTTGAAAACCTTTTTTTGAAGGAAAAAAAAAACGGAGGGAGGGAACTATGAGGCAATTTATTGTGGTGCAGTATGCATAACGAAACATTGACCATTTCAACCATTTTGATGTGTACAATTCAGTGACGTTAATTATGTTCACTATGTTGTGCAGCTATCAAAGCCAATTTTTTAGTTCATCCTGAACCTGCTGTGGTGGTAGAAAATTCAACATATCTGGAACTATGGCTGTAATCTGGTCTTAGTGTAGGAACACCCTGATATGGGACAAAGAATAAAAAAGCATTTTTTATTTCGACGACTTTGTGTCATCAAAGTTGGGAAGACATTTCTTTTCTAGTTGTCACTAAGTTTTCACTAAAAATACAAAATATTTTTTCTCTTTAGGTTTATTAATTTTGTGAAAAACTATGAGAACCCAAATCTGACCATTTCTTTCACTACTGAACGAAGTATTGAAGACGAGCTACACCGTGAAAGTAACAGCGATGTCTTCACTATTGTCATTAGCTATGCCGTCATGTTTTTATATATTGCCATTGCCTTGGGGCACATCGAAAGCTGTAGCAGGCTTCTGGTAAGTGGTGTGTGACTGTGAGTGGCCATGGGTCACACAGAAAGGGTACTGCATGGCAATACCTTATTTTTGCCCCTACTTACTCCTAATTTATGATGCTCAAAACTGCCTTAGGTGGCCCTGTGTTTTAATTTTATGTAACATCTTTGTTTCCTGTATTTTTTCTTCAGTTCCAGTGTGTTGGCTGGAACTTGTAAACTTAACATTTGTATCACATAATCCGGCTTTTTCGAATTTGTCTACTTTATCACATAAGGATGTGAACTCATAAAATACATTGCCAGGAAAAAACTTGGATATGTTTTCATATCTTCTCTAGAATGAGAATTGTACCTTTCAGTCTAGATTGGATGAAAGTAAGAGGTAAAACCGAGTATCTTTTAGTGCAGCGTGTAGAGCTCCAATGCTGCCTCATGTCCGCGTTGTATCTCCCAGGTGGACTCTAAGATCTCTCTGGGCATCGCAGGCATCCTCATTGTGCTCAGCTCGGTGGTATGCTCCTTGGGCATCTTCAGCTACATCGGAATCCCCCTCACTCTCATTGTGATTGAAGTCATCCCCTTCCTGGTGCTGGCTGTAGGGGTGGACAACATCTTCATTCTGGTCCAGACCTACCAGGTGTGTGTTCATGTCCTCACAGAGCTGGGCATCTGTCCAAGCCCCAGGGTCCATCACTGGTTGTGTGGCTTCAGGAAGAGTGAGCATGGAAATGAGGTTTCCTTCCCTTTACCCTCATGATGCTTAAGAAGACTGGTGTCCTTGACTTGTTCTGGACATTTTGGATCAAGAATTTCACCTCTTTCTTTGGTGGAATCAATACAAAGTGAGAACTTAGTTTTTTAAAAATATCTTCTTTCCATGTGTGCAAGAAGGGGTAATAACCTTAGGTATGAATACTATTAAAATAACTCTTGACATAGTGTAGAAGACTTGTTTGTTCAGAGGTACCACTACCAAAAAAAAAAAAAAGTCACCACACGCCCCTCTGTTTGGAGAGCACTCTTGACTAATTGGTTTTGCCATAGTTCCTGTCCATAGCCTGAGTGAAGGGTCATTGGCATGGCAGAAGTCACTGAGTGGCTCAGCCACTTGCAGCCTGTGTGCCATGTATTTTTCTGATTGGGTAATCCAGTCTGTCCTTGAGTTTCCCAATAGTTATCTAGCTCAAGAGGGCAGGAATACTCTGAATGGATTAACTTGGGAACTTTGGGGTTCCCCACCAAAGTTTATATGCTTATAAGCATATACTGTAAGTAGATGGCTACTAATCATTTTTCTCTCCTATTGAGTTAGCACAAAGCAGCAAAGAGTATGCCATTGCTGTTTAAAAAGAAACTTTAATGTCTTGAATTTAATGGATTTTTGTTTGGTTTTTTAGAGAGATGAACGTCTTCAAGAGGAAACACTGGATCAGCAAGTGGGCAGGGTCCTAGGAGAAGTGGCTCCTAGTATGTTCCTGTCATCCTTTTCAGAGACCGTAGCATTTTTCTTAGGTAATTACTCTTTGAGTTCTGCCAGTCCTTGGAAAAGAGGGAACAGGTTACCTGACTGACATTTGGGTTGCGTCCTTTTCTAAGGTTTATTCCATAATCGGAAAGTATCACTTAGTGAGCCACAAGAAAAATTTTAGATGGTATCACTTTGTACATGTCTTTTTCCTGTTAAATTTCAGGACAGTGTTGATGTTGGAGTTTAAGATGACAAGTAGCTAGAGCTCATCTTGCCATTCCCTTCTTTTGACACTCGTGGCAAATGTTGCTATTTGAAAATGGCACTCTAGTGTAGCTTCAGAATCTTCCTCAGTGCCCTGGTATAAATAGCAGCTTTGAAATCCATAGGCATTAGCTTGCAAGGTGAAACTTTCTTGCCATTATCCTTCACAGCCAGTCTTCCTCCTCTACACACACAGCCCACTGGGGAAACAGCCTCATAAATGAGCAGAGGTTCTCAAATGTTACTTTTGTAACTGGGGAGGAAGAAGGGGAACCAGCACTTCAGTTCTTCCACACAGAGAAATCTTCAGATAGGCTTGTGAGCGTGTTGTCCACTCCATTTCTGAAGGGTAGAGAGAAAAGTGAGTACCTCCTCTGAGGAGGAGGCTGGACGGAATCACCAAGTCTGAATGTTTGCAAGCTGTGGTTCTGCAGCCTCAGTGCCTGACAGACACCAGGCATCTGCCACAGAGCCACTGTAGGACCACTGTAGGGGCATCTTCAACACAGACACACCATTAACATACTGTTCTTCATTGCCACAAAGCAACACGCTTTTGAAACCTGTGGCCATTATAGTCCTTTGAATGGACACATAGGTGCCAAAAAAAACAGTTATCTTTTTACTTCTACTATAAGTTAAAGTATCTGACTTTACGTCAGAAGATTGAGGGTCCATGTCCCTCTGTGGACACTTCCTTAGGAAACCTGGTGGCACAATGGTTAAGCACTTAGCTATTAACCAAAAAATTGGCACTTTGAACCCACACAGTGGCTCCAGGGGGGAAAGAGCTGATGATCTGTCCTCATAAAGATTATAGCCTAGACATGAGTCGTTGTCCAGACCTAGCCAGGTCACCAGGCCCCACAACCAATCCTGTAAAGCTTTTGAATCTTCAGTTATGGACATATCCCCATCACGGTCGTTTCCCCGCTTCTGTTTCTACCTGCAACAGTGATGAATCAGTCTGCCACCAGTCACGATTTTGGGATGGTTCCCTTTGTCTTTGATCCTGTATAATTAGCCCCATGGCCAGACTCAGTGGATCCCATTCATCTTTCTGTACTGTGCACATCCTGATGGCTTCCCTCATCCTGGATGATTGAATTTGTCCTAAGGCTTAATAAGAGAGTCTCTATAAAGAAAAAAAAAAAAAAGATTACAACCTAGAAAACTCAGTGGGGCAGTTCTGCTCTGTCACACAGGGTTGCTGTGGTTGGTATCGACTTGACGGCGCCCAACAGCAATTACAAGAAAACTAATACAAGTGTGATGATAAATGGCAGCAGACACTCTCCCTTAGGGTGGAGTGACACTAAGGCGACAGTAGGCACCCAGGGCCACATGTCCCCTCTGGAGCAGACAGGGATGTGGTGTGACTTAGTGCTGCTGGGGCTGATTTTTTTTTAAGCAAAGCTGTAAATTCAGACTGTGTATAATCTCATTTTTAAATATTAGCTACTTAATAAAAATTTTCTTTTTTTAGAAAGGGACCAGGTTTGTTGGTCTGATAGAGCCTTATGGAACCACTGAGACTATGGCCCCTAGCTGCCCTTCAGGTCTGGAAATGAACACTCCTGTGGCTTCCAGCCAAACAAAAGACAGGCATATGAGGTGAACACTTACACTGTTGTTGTTGTTATGTGCCGTCGAGTCGGCCCCGACTCATAGCGACCCCTCCTTGGGTTTCCGAGGCAGTATCACTACGGAAGTAGGATTGCCCAACCTTCCTTCCGAGGAGTGGCTGGTGGGTTTGAACCGCCAGCCGTCTGGTTAGCAGGCAAGTGTCTTAGCCACTATGCTACCAGAGCTCCCTTACACTAGGTACATACAATCCTTGGAGAGAACAATCGTGGAGAATAGAAGGGCTGTGTGTGCACAGGAAGACAGGTCAGGGGGCAGGAGTGCATGGAGGGATGGACACGGGAGGAAGAGGGAGGGGAGCTGTTACATTGTGGTCAATTGTAGTCAATGTCATGAGACAAAGTATATGTAAGCTGCTGCATGGGATGGGAATTTGCTCTATAAACTTTCAACCAAATCACAATTAAGAAAAAATTTTTTTTAGTCTTAAATTAGGTCAGTACTGTGTGGGTCCAACAGTCTGGCCCCTGGGCTGCCAGTTGCAGTTTCTGAGTCTTCCCCTCGTGCTTTTGACTTGAAGCTGTTCATGTGACTGTAAATTGCTTCTCATTATTACTAAACCAAGAGACTGATGTTGATAACATAGCAGATGATATCAGTAGGAGGGGGAATATACTGTCCTGCTGTAAGTGAAGCATAGAAGATCTTAAAAGAATGACCTATATTAATGGTTCTACAATTATAATGTGTATAAATTTGCCTACAAAAAAAAATAAATAATAAAAACCTCACCGCCATCAAGTCTGTCCCAACTCATAGCGACCCTTCTTTGGGTTTCCAAGGCGGTATCTCTACGGAAGTAGATTGCCTCGTCTTCCTTCTGAGGACTGGCTGGTGGGTTTGAACTGCCAGCCTTCTGGTTAGCAGTTAGCTGCCTTAGGCACTATGCCACCTTTTAAATACAGTAGAATTGGGGTTGGATCCTCATTGTATCTTGTTCCAGTTGGACAGGGCTGGGTGTGACCCAGGAGTCTACATTTGTAGCAACTCCTTGGTCATTCTGTGCAGTTTCCATTTTGAAAAGCAGGCTTTTCTCCCACTTCTGGATTGACATCATATAAGCTTGTGCAACACCCCTTTGTGGGTAGCGAGGGTCTTCATAGTGGTTGGTCTGTTCTGGCTCCTTATCATCATGTATATGAAGCGTGTGCTTGATGCACGGAATTCTCTACTGTAAATGGATGTAATGCAGTTGCTTTTCTTTCCCTTATAGGAGCCTTGTCAATGATGCCAGCTGTTCGTACTTTCTCTCTGTTTGCGGGAATGGCCGTCTTCATTGACTTCCTCCTTCAGATTACGTGTTTTGTGAGTCTCTTGGGGTTGGACATTAAGCGTCAAGAGGTAAGTTATTATCAGGATTGTACTCTATTCAGTCTGAGTCTAGAATCTGGATGAAGCAGACAGGGTGTTTTCTGTGACCTGCTTACTCTCTGTGTCTACTCAGAAAAATCGGCTGGACATCCTTTGCTGTGTCAGAGGTGCTGACGATGGAACAAGTGTCCAAGCCTCCGAGAGCTGCCTGTTTCAATTGTTTAAAAACTTCTATTCCCCACTTCTGCTTAAGGACTGGATGCGGCCACTTGTGGTATGAGCATGTCTGAGGTTTTTCTATTTCTTTCCCCAAAACAGATGTGTCACATGCCTTCTAAGAAACCAGACAGCTTGGGAAAGGGCCTCTAAAAGCTGAATATATATACAAAAATACAAAAACATGATCAAATATATAAAATATTTTTCTAGCTCTATTTTATCAGTTAGAGGTTTTGTTTAACGCTTTATTTTGAAATAATTGTAGATTCACAGGAAGTTGCAAAAATAGTACAGAGAGGGCTGCTGTCTTTCTCCTGGTTTCCCCCAATGGCTGCATCTTACACAATTACAGTACAGTATCAAAACCAGGAATTTGACATTGATACAGTGTATATACATAGTTGTGTGTCATTTTTGTCACATGTGTAGATTCCTTTGGCCACCACGGCAATCAAGATACAGAACTTTTCCATCATCATAATGATCTCTCTTTCGCTACCTCTTTATAGTACCACCCCTTCCTAATCCTAATCCCTGGCCACCATGTAAGAGCCTCTCAGAGTTTGATATTAGTAAGTGTAGCCAACAGTGATAAATACCACTTCTCTACTGTAACAACAGCAGTTAGTATCTTATCCACTGCCGTCGAGTGAGATCCAACTCATTGCGACCCCTCCTCAGGTTTCCAAGACAGTATCACTACAGAAGTAGATTGCCCAACCTTCCTTCCAAGGAGTGGATGGTGGGTTTGAACCTCCAGCCTTCTGGTTAGCAGTCAAATGCCTTAGGCAAAAGTAATAGTGAACATTTATTCAACACTTCCTGTCTGTTGAGTACTGTGCTAAGATCTGGATTATCTCATTTGATTCACACAACTGTCTGATGTCTCTTGTTTTTCCCATTTTACTGATGAAGAAATGGCAACGCAGAGAGGTTAGGTGACTTGCCCAAGGTCACTCAGCTAGTAAGTGGCAGAGCCAGGATTTGAATCCAGGAAGTTTGACTGTAGCTCCTGTGCTCTCAGCCACTACTTCGTATTCCCTTTTTTCTTCACATGTCACTGAAACTTTTCAGTTCAGGCAAGGCCTGGGGTTTCTTTGTATTTAAGATTTTGTTTATGTTCCTAAGTTCACTATGCTACTAAGCAATCTCGGTCTCATAACTCCCTTTTCATTCCAGATAGCAGGTTTTGTGGGCACTCTGTCATTTAGTATCGCAGTGTTGAACAAAGTAGAAATTGGATTGGATCAGTCTCTGTCGATGCCAGTTGTAAGTTGCTTTCTTTTTTATTTTAACTTGTTGTGCTGATGACGAGTGAAATTTTTAAAACATGCATGTGGGTATTTGAAGCTAATCCCCGCTCCTTAGTACAAGTGCCGACAGAGTCTGCAGGGTTATGAGAGCTGCCACCAGGCTCGGCACATACACCTGCCTTGGAATTCTGGGTGCAGCCATAGAATCTGAGCAGCCTGTCAGCTTACAGGATGCCCTCCTGATCATGGGACTGTAAGAGTTGCACACTGGGGTCCCAAGAGACTGGCTGTGGGGGAACTCAAGTATCCAGGCTGATAGGTTCTCAGCCAGTAGCTTCCCGGTGCCCTTCTAATTCTTAATGAGAATCATCTCGCTTAGTTACTGTCAGAACTTCACTGCTTTTCCTTTCTTTTTCTTAGGACTCCTACGTTATAGATTACTTCAGGTCCATCAGTCGCTACCTTCACGCGGGCCCTCCTGTATACTTTGTACTGGAGGCGGGACATGACTATACGTCTCTGAAAGGACAGAACATGGTGTGTGGTGGCATGGGGTGCAACAACAATTCACTGGTCCAGCAGTTATTCAATGCAGCTGAGCTGGACAGCTAGTAAGTGCCCCCTGTCTTCTTGCCTGGCAGCTGGAACAGCCAGGAGAGGCTCTCTGCCAAAGAGCCCACTCAGGCCTCAGATTTCTCACCAAACATGGATTGTCTTAGAAAATTTGGCTTTATTCAAAATGTATGTTAAATCTAGCTTTACCTGAACAAAACTGTCTAAAGGCCTAGTTTACTACTTGACACTTTGACACTCATTAAGTGTTTATGTCATTTCTTTTTTTTTTTTTTTTTTTGAACTGAGTAGCAGTATAAAATGTGGAAGAGGAAGTTGTTTCAAGAAAAAGCCCTGAAACTAAAGACTTCCCCCTTTGTGGGGCAAGCCAGTAGTAAGTTTCTTCTCCTTTCCTTAGTACCCGAGTAGGCTTTGCGCCCTCGTCCTGGATTGATGATTATTTTGATTGGATCAAGCCTCAGTCTTCCTGCTGCAGAGTCTTCAATGGCACTGACCTCTTCTGCAACGCTTCAGGTGCCCTCATCTCCTCTCCCAAAGTTTTCTCCTTCTTTTCAGACGTTGTTTAACATGAGAAGTTACAAATCATTTCCACTTCATTTCCGTTTTTCCCTTTTTACTCTGGCTCTCAGTGTCTTTGCCATTATCCTTTCCTTAGTCCCTCACTCTAAAATATGCATTGTTACTGCCCCAGACAGCCCCACCTGCTGGCCTGCAGGCCGATCCATCAATCTATCGTTCAGTGTCTGGTGACTCTGGTTTTCAGAGAAGGCTTCTTATCTGTTCTGATAACACCAGCAGCCTCTCTTGATTAGTTTCTGGCCTTGGCCTCCCAGAAGGTTGTTTCCCCTGCACCCCCTTTTTTTTTTTTTTTCAAAGTCACTGTTGACTTGTGTTTTGTTAGAATGATGAGGTTTTTTTACTCACTCACTAATTGCCGTCAAATTGGATCTGACTCAAAGTGACCCCTCCTTGGGTTTCCAAGGCAGTATCACTATGGAAGTAGATTGCCTAATCTTCCTTCAGAGGAGTGGCTGGTGGGTTTGAACTGCCAGCCTTCTGGTGAGCAGTCAAGTGGATTAGGCACTACACCACCCGAGCACCCGAGGTTTTTACTAGAACATTTTTAATAAATATATGGAAACCCTGGGCTGTGACAGTGCCAGCTGTGGTTGTCGTACAGTCTGCCTGAAATGCCATTCCTTACGCTGTGACAATCACTTGGGACTGAAGACCAGGGGAAAGTTTCCAGAAAATAATTTCTCTCATTTCTGCATCAATATTTTAAAATGTTGTCAAGTAAAATCTGGAGACCCTATCTAACCATTGCCTCCCTGCCCTGGGTTTATGACAGTTGTCGACCCTGCCTGCGTGCACTGCCGGCCGCTCACCTCGGAGGGTAAACAGCGGCCCCAGGGGAATGACTTCATGAAGTTCCTGCCCATGTTCCTCTCTGACAACCCCAACCCCAAGTGTGGCAAAGGGTAAGTAACGCTTAGCATTTCAGCTCCAAGGCCACTTCAGCTCTTATTTATAGTAGAAAACCAGGACAGGAGAGAATTGAGGTATGCAGCAATTGTGTGGGAAAGGTCCTCTTTTCTTCCCTCTCCCACCATGGCCCAGTCCTGGGAAAGCAGAGAAACCTAAGGCTCCTTGAAAAGAAAACTTCTCACCGTTTTCAACTGATTTCAGCCTAGCCTGAGCATCCAGTTCTTAGTCTTCCCTCTCAGTCCTGGATGGAGGAGTGGGCAATTCCTGGGGAGCACGGGGGAAGGAATGAGTGAGTATACTGCTGTTTCAGAATACAAAAGGGCTCAGTTTATTGTGTTGATGGGCATATGGATAGCATCTTGCCTTCGTGATGTCATCCTAGGTGAAGGCTTAGATTGGTGAAGGCTTGATTGGTCTAGCCCCCTCCATACTTCTTGTCAGACTGTCCAGATGTGTGAGGTGTTGGGCTGTCTTGTTCCCCCATGTAGCCCTGGCAGTCATTTCCCATGGAAATAAGATATCCTGGCATAGAATTAGTGATGGTGCCTGGAAGTCTGTAGGAGTCATTTGGAAACTTCTGTAGGGGGCAAATGAGTATCCACCTATCCATTAGGTAAACCCTGAGCATACCTGTTTTTCATAAGAGCACATGCTTGACCAGAGCCACATCTGTTCATCATGTAGATCATACCTCTTAGAGACCTATATGAGGTACCATGGGAAGACTAGCCCTATAAGTAAAATAGAAATGAATCTCGTGACTTGGTTTACTTGCAGACTGAATGCTTTGGCCTACATAAAACAAGGTAGAGTCCCCCCCTATGAGCACCTATAACCTTTGTAGGCCACGTTGAAGTGGCTTTATTTTTTATGAATGTAGTAGCCACCTTTTATGGAGAGTCTCGATGGGTCAGTGTCAGGCTGGACACCTCACCAACATTATTTTATTTAATCATCCCCACAGCCCTGTGAGTAGGTGGTATTGCTCCCATTTATAGAAGAGGAAGCTGGAGGTCAGATTACGTAATTTGGCCCAGGGTTACATGGCTGATAAGTGGCAAGGCTGAGACGGACGCAAGGCTGTTTGTGTTCAGGGTCCTTGCTCTGTCCTGCCCCTGTTGCACAACATTACTGAGCAAACTATGTCTGAAAACACACTTGGCTGCAAGCCCAATTAGATACGAAACAACAGTAGCTAAGCAGAGCTTTTGCTATGTTAAGTTGTACTTTGGTAGATACTCAAAAGTGAATGTGTATACACCAAAGACACCGAAAACAATAAGGAAAGCCAGTCTAGGAGAGAATAAGGTGAAATCTCTGTGGTCCCCTTATCATGGTTCCTTTAGATTTTAGTTGAGTCTTATTTCACTTAGGCTTAAGGATTCATATTCTGCAGATCTTTTGCCTGGCTTGGCTTTTCTGACACCCAGTGACTCTTCTCTTCTCTCAGGGGACATGCTGCTTACGGTTCAGCAGTTAATATCCTTGGCAATAACACTAGTGTCGGAGCCACATATTTCATGACCTATCACACTGTGCTTCAGACCTCTGCTGACTTCATCGATGCCATGAAGAAAGCCCGAATGATAGCCAGTAACATCACTGAAACCATGGGCATTCAAGGAAATAATTACCGTGTGTTCCCCTACAGGTAAAGTGGCTTTGAGTTGGATCTGACTCATAGCAACCCCTTCTTTAGGTTCCCGAGGCAGTATCACTATGGAAGTAGATTGCCCAACCTTCCTTCCACGGAATGGCTGGTGGGTTTGAACCTCCAGCCTTCTGGTTAGCAGTATTATGCCTTAGGCACTACGCCACATAGATGAAGTATATCAAAGGAAAGTGCTAACTGGGCAGGGAGGGCTGCCATCTTGAACACTGAGATCTGAGCGCTGGAGACACAGCAATCTGTGCTGGGCCTCACCATCTGAAAGAGAGAAGACATACTGCACACTGGCACCAGGAAGGGAGAGGTTCATTCTAGAGGTGGCACTTAGGAACCAGGCAAGACTTCAGAGAGAGGCAGGCTCATGTAAGTGACTGGTGTATCTGGCGGATGATAGCTTGGACTGAGCCTTTATGGAGACTCCTGTTCTTCATTTATTGGGTTTGTTTCCTTATAAGTACAGTATTGTATATGAAAAAATGAATTTAGAAAATAAAGGTGGAAGAAACAAGTGATTACTTTCCTTCCACATCTGTGATCTCTGTCTTAAAGGCATCTTGATTGTTCTTTTCAGAACAGGAGGAAGTTCTCAGGGTGGGTGTCCCAATTCCTGGGAAGAGCTAGTGCAAAAAAAAAGCATTGTCTCCTCAGGCCCTATATCTATACAGACCCCATTTGCCTGAGATAGATAGTCTCAGGATATGTTTCTTTTTCAAAATACCATAAAATCTTCTTTGTAAATGCCTACGTAATAGCATAGAGTGGGCTTACGTACCATAACTTTATATGAAATGCACATTTTGAATCATTCTTAGGCCCTTCTGTGAGTGTGTAGTAGCTGTCAGAATCCAGTTGAATTACCTTAGGGGAGGTTTTACCTAGGCAGGTTTTCTGCAAGGATGTCTCAAAGTGGTTTCACAGTTTTACAGCAGTGGCAGGATGAAAAGTTGAGCTTTCATGGCACTTTGCCCCCTTCCTTTCCACAGTGTGTTTTATGTCTTCTATGAGCAATACCTGACCATTATTGATGACACTATCTTTAACCTCGGCGTGTCCCTGGGAGCAATATTTTTGGTGACCTTCGTTCTCCTGGGCTGTGAGCTGTGGTCTGCAGTGATCATGTGTGTCACCATTGCGATGATCTTGGTCAACATGTTTGGTGTTATGTGGCTGTCGGGCATCAGTTTGAATGCTGTGTCCTTGGTCAACTTGGTTATGGTGAGTCCTATTCCACTCCCAACTCCTGTTCCATTCATCTGAATTGTTTCTAAGATTCTGTATGAGCTTCAGAGTGGGGCAGAGTATCAAATCAGGCTTTTCCTCTTGGTGCATATGGAGAGGTGGGATGGATGCTGGATGAAGTGGGGACATGTAGGGGCACATCCAGGAACAGACAGACACACATCAAAGTTCATTTGTTGAGTTCAGTTTTTATTCTGTATCCCTTTACTTGCAGGTAAGAGTAGTATGGTTCATGGTGTATGTAATAGTGGAAGTGTGACTTCATGGTTGAGGTTACCCATTCTGCCTTTATATTCTGAAGGGGTTGCTAAAGCTGGTAGCTGAATGACAGCTAAGTGTTCAGTTTTTATTTAGAAAAATGGCTCCCATCTCTCTGGGGCTCTCTGACCAGTGTTTTTGCCTCCCATGCTGCTGGCAGGTGCTCTTCAGTGGACTAAAGTCTTGAAGTTGTGTTAGGGAAGGTGTTAAGGGAAAACAGGCAACAATTTGTGCATGCTTTCAGATACTATCATGGCCGCAGTGGACTGACAGTGAGGCCACATAGAGAAATGACAGTGTGCCCCTCACTGGGAGCTGGGAAGCCTCGTTTCCACAACTTCCCCTATCAAAGGCAAATACGTTGTAGAAAACTGGAGCCCTGGGCTTTGGTTTAAAATGGGATGATGAGAGCTTTGGGTTATAGATCAGAGAGTAATCAGGGCTCCTTTACACCCAAGATGCCCTGGTAGTCTACACCCTGGGAAAGGGGTGAAGCTGCTTAGGATTTTCAACTGGAAAAGAGCTGTCATAAAGGAGGCACTTTCTTACAGAGCTGTGGCATTTCCGTGGAATTCTGCAGCCACATCACGAGGGCGTTCACTGTGAGCACCAAGGGAAGCCGTGTGGGCCGTGCGGAGGAGGCACTCTCCCATATGGGCAGCTCTGTAAGTACTTAAGGCAGGACAACATGGGCAGAAAGGGCCATAGAGTGCCCAGCTAAAGGACCAAGCATCAGAAGACACATTACAATTCGGTAGTTAAAACAATTTGGATGCTCTCATTAGAAAGTAGCTCCTAAGGATTATGAGTTTTCAGGCAGGTCATGAAATAGCTGCATGTACAGACCAGAATTCTCTAGAACTACTTGTTTGTGAGAATTCTCTTTGGGAGACAATACGACTGAAGCAAAAAACCAGCAGAGAAGTTAGATTTAAGAATTCTTTCCCCATTTAAAATACAGGCCAGTAATAGGTGTTACACACAATATGTGTTAAACCAGCAAAGTAATATACTACGTTCCTGAACCCAGTGTGAGAATTATAGGTGACATCCAGGCTATCTTCTTAGTTCAACTCTTTATCTTGGTTTAGCCTGTCAATTAGGATATCAAACGCCAAGTTTCACATTACCACTGCAAAATATTGTTAGAGGAACAGCTAAAACTTTTTAATAACAATTTTAGATACTTGATATTACCTTAATTTAGAGACAGCATGCATTATCATACACAGAGAATACAGCCTTTACCTTTGATAATACTTAATACCTGTAATACCCTATTACTTTGGATCTTGACTATTAAGTGCCTGTATGAGGATGTGTTTCCATTATAATTGGTTGGTAAAAGTGGTCTCTAACAAAACGTCTTTTTTCTTTTAGGTATTCAGTGGCATCACATTAACAAAATTTGGAGGGATTGTGGTGTTGGCCTTTGCCAAATCTCGGATTTTCCAGATATTTTACTTCAGGATGTATTTAGCTATGGTTTTCCTGGGAGCCACTCATGGATTAATCTTCCTCCCTGTCTTATTAAGTTATATAGGTAAGAGTTCTCATTTGCCAAAGGAAAATGATGGTATCTTGAAGCATTCTTGTAAATGTATTAAATGTACTAATGATCATTTTATAAGTGATGCCAAGTAAAAATTCCCATCCCAGGAGAAAAAATCCTATCTAGGGCTTCACACTTGTCTAAATGACTTTATTTATAAATGGCTGGCTAACACTTCTGGAGGCCTGACTTGTTACTTCACAAGGTCCCTAAGTCAGACCTGGAATGAGTTCTAAGGTGAGCAGGCCAGGGTGGTGACTCCCTGCTACTGACAGGAGACATGTGGCCAGCAGTGAACCTGTCGCCAGCTCCTCACACTCCAGCAGTACCATGTGTATTTCCCCTACCGACATACTCTTCTTAGCAAAGACCTGCCTCTCCGCTACTCATCTCTTATTTTGAAACAGCTACTCTAACAGTCTAGTCTTCTGACTTCTGTGGCCACTCCAACTTGCATAAATGAGCCAGGGCTGGAAGAACAGTACCATTTGCTTGAGTTACATAGCTTTGTAACTGAGTAGAAGCACTGAGGTAACAGGTTGAGAAAGTGAGGCTTTTGTTTCCCATCTCGGGAATAGAAACTGGCTGTCTTACAACTGGTACAGATTATCTCCTTTTCTTCTGAAGAAATGACATGATTCTTCTTTTCATCCCTCGTAGGACCATCAATAAATAAAGCAAAAAGTAGCACCACTCAAGAACGATACAAAGGCACAGAGCGGGAACGACTCCTCAATTTCTAGCCCTCTCACGGGCTCAGTGACTGACCTGTGTGTAAGGGTCGGTCAGTTTACCGCTGGACAGTAGCCACATCACAGAGACTAACCGAACCCTGGATGTTGCCAAACGTCAGGCTGTTTTAACAGCAGCAGGTCCAGACATAGTGCTTTCAAACTCAGGAATGCAAATCTGACTGAAGCAGTATTACTAAATCTAAAGGCAGCCACAGGACAACACAACCTCTTCCAACTTCTCCAGGAAAGAAACCCAGTTCTTTGGCAAGCCAGAGGTGGCGCTGGCACAGCTATGACCACGACCTGCCCACTGACACTTTTTCAAGGCCAAGCAATGCAGTTGCTCTCCTTTTTTTAGGAGTAAGCCATCAAGTCCTAGACCATATTTTTAGTAACATTTGAGGATGTTGTAGAGATACTTTATTATAACATTTTGTAGTTTAAAGAGCTTTATTATTAATGCAATAAATTAACTTTGTACACATTTTTATAAAAAACAAAAACCAACAACTAGGAAGTGATTTATTTCAGAACGTGGTAGGCCTCATTAGAGCCTGGTCTCCAAAAACCTGTTTGAAAAAAGCAACATGCTCTTCACAGTGTTCTCCTGTAAAAGAAAATACAGACTTTTAATCAACATACATGTTACGTGGGTTAGAAAAAGGGAGGGAGGAAAACAAGAGAATGAACATTTTGAAGCTCCTATATAGGTGTGTTTACTGGGGTTTAACTTATTTTCCTTTAATAAATACTTTTTTTTCTTAAGCTTTAAGTTGCCCTTTGTATTTAACACACAGCTCCTGCCATTGCAAAACTGTCTAGGTTTCTTTACCAGCCCCAGGGAATCACCATCTGCTCTGAGACCAGGAAGCTAAGTGGGGAGACGGTGACCTGCCACTGTGGTAACTAAAGGCCATCTTGCCCTGCACACTAACTAAGCTAGAAGTTCACTGACCTACAGAAGACTCATACATATGGTGTGGTCAACAAGTCACATGTTCCTCCCACATCTAAAGGAAGATGATACCTTAGATTTTATAACTATTTAAAGATGAGTGATTAACCAACATTTCATGCTGAAGCTGAAGTATTAAATCCCAGGTCATTTAAAACGCTTGGGCACTATTTCATCTTACTACTAGTTCTCCAGAAAGAAACATTCCAAGATCTCGTGTGTTAGTTGTATGTCAGCTTGGCTGGCCCTGGTTTTGAGTGGCTGGGCAGCTGGATGTAGTTATTTCCCATGGTGAGACTGTTAATCAATTCCATGGTGGAATCTACTGGAGCAGCTGAGTAGCTGCCTTAGGGATATGGCCTGCTTCCAGTATATGAAGAGAAGTGTTGAGAAAGGTCTCTTGAGCTTTTTGGCATGCTTGGACCCTGCATGTAGGCCATGGTTTCTTGCTGATCTTGCGACTGTCTCTGGACTTGAACTAGTAACCTGCCATGTTGTTTGGTAATCTTGGGACTATGCCATTTTATTTGTCGACCTTGGGTTTGTCAGCCTCAGCAGCTGTCTGAGTTAAGTCTCTAGCTTCAGTGGGCCAAGGAGCAAGAGGCAGAGCTGAAACCCAAGGTCAAGGGGCCATCAAGCCAGCTCCCAGAGCCTGGCACTTTGAACTCGGATTTCTACTCTCTTAAACTGTAAGAGAATAAATCCCTGTTTGTTCAAGCCATTCCCATTTGTGGTATTTTCTGTTAGAGCAGCACTATATAACCGAAACATCTCACCATACATGGCCATGTCCAGACTTCCTGAGTCGATCCTGAATGTGCCTGCCTAACTAACAGCACCTCCACTGTGTGCTCCAGGGCATTCTGAAGATTCTATTGGGCATTCTAGAATTCACTCCACTACAGGTAATGGCTGGGGGTTAGAAAATCTGGTTAAAAACATGCTAAGCCAAAGTTTCTCCTCCCCACCCTCTTTGAAAAAATGCAGCATACTGTCTTGCCTGCCCACTAACAATGCCGTGAGTTATTATTTGGGTCTGTCTTCCCCAGGGCTTTTCTTTGCTACCACCTTCTTACCTGGCGTGAAATTAGGATTCCCTCGCAAACGCTGGTTTCGTTGTTCAAAAAATCGGAACGTAGTGTAGAAAAGCATGTTGTCTTCAGTCTGCTTTGCAGCATCTAAGAATTTCCGGGCAGAAATGTTGTCATGGCCACCAATACCCCGGATGAACCGTAAGGCAGCTAACACTTGGTGTTTGGAGAGAAGCACTTCTACGATTTCATCATTTGCTGTTGAAAGTCTCTAGAAAGGAGAGGGAGAGAGAGAAACTGGGTAAATTCAAGCAACAGGAACAGACAGTTTGGTCATCTCCAACTCTGCTGCATCAGTTATTTACCTTCAACATGTCCAGAGATAACTGATGAGCGGGAGGATAAAAACTTTCTAGAGATAACAGCAGACAAGCCTGGAAGAGAAATTTTCAGACTAACTTTAGCATAAGAAGTTGAAAGGTTAAAATCTTAAGTTTTTAATCACTACCAAGGTAGCAGTCTCGGAAGAGATACGTACCAAAGGTTTTGAGTCACTCAGGACATGGTATTGCAGGAACTGATGCAGCATATAAAAGAGGTTGTGCTGGACAAGTGTTTTGATAACCAGTTCATGTAAGTAATGCTGAGGACAGAAGCAGAAAGAAGACAATTGCCAAATGGCTCAACTACCACAGACTAGGCAGCTGTTCTAACTAAAAAAGTATAAAAGGCCTCAGTTATGAAGAGACGTGTTTTCAACGTACAGGTGAAAGAACCCACCCTGACAGGCTGCTCATTCCAACTAAAAACGATCTGGAAGGTCACTCAGAATCCCAAGTGAGGTGTGCAAACCCTCACAGCATGTAAAAATCATCATCTTCTAAGACAGTGACAGTGTCTAAGACAGTGACAGTGTTTTTATTTAATAAAAAGAAAAAATTCTCTGCACCTCTAAGTTGGGAGAACACTTGCTGATCTGAAGGTACCTGTACTGCAATCTGAAACTGGTTTAGAGAGCGGATGTACTCCATCAGTACTGCTATCACAAACTTATGAGGCATCTCCTAAAGAGAGAAAAAAGGTTCTTGTAAATAACAAAGTTGCCAAAGGGCTTCATGTAACCTTTTTTAACCCACCTCCCTTTCTCCCATATTAAACTGACCCAATGTTCTATTAAGCTGGTTTTGTACAAATCTCTTCCGAATCATGCCTCCTTGGCTCCCTAATTACTGCATTGTTTTAGGCCTGAATATCAGAAGCAAAACTATTAGCATTTGGCCCCCACCCAAGAACTCCACTTATTCTAATCACCTTATGGGTGGTACTAATTTCCCTCAGTTCCCTTCAAATAGATCTTGGCTTCGAGACCCCTTAGTCCAGAGGAGGTGGGAAGCAGTGACCAACCTTCTTCTCTGTGAACACAGACAGGACATGGGTGTACATGTCAGACTGGTCAACAACCGCTTGCGTCCGCACAGGCCTTTTTAGAAGTGGATTACTTCGGCTTTGCCCTGCTTCTACTGCCTGAAATAATACACACTGTGATCTTAATCATCCTCTAGGAAATGGGGCCCTTTACACTTAATGCAGGAAGACCTGAGTTCCTAGAAGCTGTGAACCTAAGACATGAACAGGAGGACAAGACTCCCTTCACTACCTGGATAAAACTACCTTCTTGTGCTGGCAGGTTAAAGTTTTGGGCAATCAGAGTTGTCATCTTGGAAACACTCCATTGCTCAGAGCGAACAGAGCTAAAAAAGCCTAAGTCATCATTTTCTCTTAAGATGTATTACACTTCAACCTATTAAAAATAACACTCCCATTTTTCTTAACTACTGCCTAAGCCAGTATTTGTTATCTAATAAAAATTAGATGTCTGGCTGCAGCCTTGTTTTATTTTACAGTAAGTGAATACCTCTTGTAGTAAGTCTGTATCTGCATTTTCGAATGGTAAGCAAGAACTCCCAATATTTACCAAAAAGGAAAGCTCTGTGAGAAGACCTTACTCTGCTTCAGATCTCAAACTTCAGTATGCATTCTGATCACCTAGTGATCTCGGTAAAATTCAGATTCAGGGTGGTGGGAGGGGGAGGGCCCGTGCAGCCCGAGAATCTTCCGCACACCTAAGAAGCTCCAAAGGTGCTCTGGTGGCGCAGTGGCTAAGGCACTTGACTGCTAACCAGAAGGTTGGCGATTCAAACCCGCCAGTCACTCCTCGGAAGTAAGACGGGGCAATCTACTTCCGTAAACATTTACCTCCTCGGAACCCAAAGGGGGTAGCTATGAGTCAGAATCAACTCGATGGCCATGCGTTTTAAGAAGCTCCAGGTGCTGCAATGTTGCCGATCTATGAGCCACACTCTCAATGGCAAATGTTTACAAAGCCTAATTAGCCACAGTGGAAGAAAGCACGGAAAATGCCCTTCGGAATCAAATTCCCACAGCTCAACACACTGACAGCAGTACAGAGAGATGAGTAGAGAAGCACTAAGCCATCCCTGTGTGGGACTGACAACAGCCACAGAGATAACTTGGCTCCAAGGTAACTTGGTCTTCTTCAGTAGCCTGCCACACTATGATCTTGGAATCTAAAAAGGAGTGAGGTTCGGGATTTCTTTGTTATTTAAGAGCCAATTGCTTTTTTTTTTTTTTTTTAGCCTTGGAACTGATCAAAATTAAGTAATTCATCCCACTTCTCTGAACCCTCTTCCTTCTAGCTTCAGGAAGTATGATGTACTAATAGCACAGCCAAACTTGGTAACAAGTCGTGTGGACTTTTTTCAGCCCTTCATGACAAGCATTTGATGTTTACTACACGAAAAACACAGGGCTAATACGTAATCATTACAGTCTTGGTAAGATACCAAATTCCAGGACAAGTCCTATCTTTATAGTTATGACATCCCAAAAGGAAAGGAAAACGATGGGGCAAAACAATTCTAGTTCTTATTTACTAGGGCTGAACTGTAGCTTGACAGAAAGATGTATAAAATAATATAAAGCCAAGACCATGTCTCTTATCT